GGGGGTCCCTCCGCCGGCCTCCCAGGGAGGTTAGACAAGGCCGTCCTACCCAGAGCACCAGTGCTCCGGCCTGAAGGACAAGGCAGCCGCTGCACGGGAGGAGTTAATGGTGCCTTGGTGCCGTTTTTAAAGCCATGTAGGAGAATCGCGGCGCTGGGAACAGCCTCGCTACTGCTCCGGGGACAAGAGGCCGGCAGGAGTATGAGGTGGGTCAGGTCGGAGCTCAGGGGATCCGGCCACATCTCCCCTCCAGCAGCAAGCAAGGCTGCAGGAGACACCCCCACCACAGCAGAACAGCTCACCGGTCCCTCCAGAGCTGTTTTAACTGGGGAGCAGCTTTCCCTCTTCCATGACTTCGATTTTCCAGAGAAGCTGGACCTCTCACCAGCACTGAATCTAGTCTAGATAATTACAGCCTGCTACAAAAGGTTAATTTTGCTTTGCAGTCTTCACCCTAGGCTGTCGTCTCTAGCCAGATCTGGTAATTGGGCACCAACAGAACATGTCAGTTCTGCTTGCTGATTCAATAAAACAAACTACCTTCAACTCACTGCTCACCCTGTGCCTTTCATCCAGTTTGCTGAGCAGCACCTAAAAGCTCCACATCCTACGGACAAAAGGATAAACTCCAGTAAAGACCTGGCAATTCTAGTATTAAGAATAGAGACATCAAAAATTATTGAGACATCAACTATTATTACTTGGACCTGGGGAAAAGGTGTTTTACAAAAGCACAGTCAGTGTCCTCCTCTGGTGCAGTCCCTTCAAGATACAATACACAGTGTTATATGCTTGCATCTTTCCTAGCACGAAGTAAGATGCAGCTTTACTATTAAACTAGCCTCACACACTGAGGTTTTGGTTTGCTTTGTTGTTGTTTTTCTCCCAGTTAGCCATATCTAGGAATTCTTTCCTCTGAAGCAGTAAGCTAGGATAACCTCTCCTTAGTATTCTTAACCACTAGAAGAACTAAAGTGTACAGATTGGATGGGACAGCACAGCTCACAGAGAGCAGTGGGTGCCACGCGACAGAGTGGATATGTTGTCCAGGAAGAGTTAAGTGTGAGGGTCAAAGTGCTGCTTACCTTGGAACTGTGACAGCGTGGCTAGAAGGGACTTTCCAAATAATTTCTCAACTTCCTCATCTATGCAGTCACTGTACATTAGCAGGTAGAAGTGAAATCCTAGGTTTTTATTTAAAAGTCCTTACAGTTTCTGCTCCAGCTGCTTTCATGATTCCTACCCTAATTCAAACAAGAGCAATCTGTTCCTGAACCTTGGCAAAGGCAGACAGACATAAAACAAGACAGGCTCCCATTCTGTTCTCCAATGCATCTACAGAAGGGATTAAAACCACTTTGGAAGCCTACAGAATTTACAAGACCTTAATCATCTGTTTTCCCATGTTAATGTGGAAAATACACAACTCTGAAGGTCTTTAAAAAAAAAAAACCGCTGCCCAAATTTGTCACCATTGCTACAGCAATGTATCTGCTTCTTCTTGAAGATTTTAGCCTAGGACATACATACCAAATGTTTTAGAATCACCAGATAATTATTCCCTCACCTCAGCAAGTCTCACCAGCAACAGTAGGGAGCAGGCTTTTAGCCCTCATTCGTGATTGTTCCTGCTAAACATGAGTTGAACAAATAAAGTAAAAACCAAACAAAACACAGCACTGTTTTCCTACATCCACAACTTCATCAACAGGCAGGGGTTTCATGCTTTCTAAACTACTCTGGCATTAGGAACTGAATTACTACAAGGTCCCTGCAATCAGTCTGTGCTTCTAGGATGTATTTTCATAATGCTTAGCAGACACTAGCAATAAATGGTAGCTTTTAAGTCTTTCTCCTCAATTTACCATATCATGAAATTATTTCCTTTGAGGCAGAAAGTCAAAAAGTTTTGCAAAGAAGTCCAGAAAATGTGGTAAGTTAGGGGGTTTTTTTGCTAGGGATGTTAAAAGCTAACTTGAAGTAAGGTTTGGAAAAGCAAAGACACACACACCTGTGCACTTGTGTTACCAGAAAAAAGGACTAAAAATTTAAAACCAAAACTGTTTGTGAGGACAAACAGCAGTAAAGCTACATCAACCAAAAAAACCAACAAAAATAAACAAAAACCACCACAAAAAAGCTAGCATTAGAAGTGGTTTCAGAAATAAAAAATTTCCACCAGTTTGCCAGGAAGCCATACTCTTTTTGGGAGACTAAGCATCTTACTTTGATTTTACTCCAAACTTGGACATCTAATCAAAATAGATAACACTATAGCATTTTCTAGTTGCTTTTAGCAAGGTAAGTTTCATTTAAATCTAAACCAGCATCAGGCTTCATGGTAAAACCTCAATAATAGCTTAACTCTTATTTCAAAACAGTTTTAAAAGTCTCTTCAAAATTCAAATAGGTTGTTTCCGTACTGGAATCATGATAATAAATAACAGAACACACATTGCATAGTGACCAGTTTGTTAATTGTAATTCAGGTAATAAAATATCCACTGCATTCTGCTCAAAGCAGCATTTATTAAAGACAGTATCAAGATAAATCAATGCATAACGAAGCTTTCCCTCCTAAAAATATGTAAACAAGTTGACAGCAAGTTATTATTACAATATAAAAAATTAAAGCTTACATTGCATTTTTTTAAAGCTCCTAACTTCAGTCTCCATGTAGACAGTCTCTGGTCTGTGGTATTTAAAAATACAAGTTCTTGAAAAATGTTAAAGTATTGCCTTTGCACATAGACATTTTTATAGAAAAATACTTTAAAATACCAACTTCCTATTCATAAAAGCAAGACAGAAAATAAGACATCTTTTGTCATTAACAGCTTGTTAAATGCATCTAGCATTTACTCCACCATTCTGTTTAACCAAATTATCTTCTGTTCATTTTAAAATTTGTAATAGTGTGCCAAAAGTATCTTGGATAGCATTCAGTTTCTTTCACATAGCAAAGCAATTAGCATTAAGTTGATAACATTGGCAGTTACCTTGTAATCAGTCTGGCCTAAGTTTATTTGCAACTGAGGCCATCAGTTTAATCCTCATCTCCAACTGTGTATTTTCCCATGTACAGGAGGCTTTTGCTAAGAAATCTTAGTAAGTTCAGATATATTTTAGAAAGGCTTGAAACCTTTCTATGACCTAAAAAATATACATTGTCTTTTAAAGAACCTTTAACCCCTCTCTAAGTTTTTCTTTCACTATATTAGCAGTCCTGTTACTCACAGTCAGCAAATTTTCAGGAAATGCTTTGTTCATAATATATAATTTGACAGGAGCTACCATTTTACATTCCCAAACAAAAAAAAGTTAAATTTTGATTTTTAATATTTTTCCAAGACTTTTACTGGCACGAGTTCAACAGATCCCTTTTGCAGTTGCTAAGGCAAACAAGTTAGCAAGTGTCCTGTACACAGAGTTTGAAAGATTGTGTAGTTTTACAAAACCAAACTAAATTCAACAAGCAGAGATAAATACATATAATTGGGATGAAAGCTAATCATGCTATTGTGCCCTGCAAAGCATCAGCTGACAATGAACAGCAAAAGGAAAAAAAAATTATACAGTGAACCAGTTTCAGGATTAATTCAAAGAGCAAAAATGGAGTTATTAAAAGTTTTATGTTAGGACATAAGACTGAAAAAACCAGCTAGGTAAACACAGCAAGATTTATCAGTGAAGACAGTGTCTGAGATAACACAAGTACATTTGTATGCAAACAGTAACGAATATGAGTAATACTGCCAGCTTTCTTAGTTCATTGCATAGTGCAGAAAAAGGAGAGTTTATTTAGTCTTTTTCACTACTTAATTAGCAAGTTAAGACTGCCAGGATTTACAGCCTTAAGTTTATAATGGCATGTAGAACAACTTACTGACACAGCTGTGGCAGAGCCTAAACCACTGAAATCATCTCTAGCCCCAGAAATGTGCAAAGAACACTACTCCCAAAAGAGAATGTACCTGTCACAGGTACTGTAGTTCTGAAAGAAGGGCTTACCCTGCTCCTTCCTGCAGGATTCTGATTTGTAGAAATTTGTAGAAAATGACAATTTTATTGCTATACTTGCCCTTAAGACAAACCTGATGAGTTCAAGCAAGATGTGGCAGCAGGTGCTCAAGGAGAACACTCAGCTGGAGAGTAAGAATTAAGAGATTCCAACCCAGGCTCAGCTTAGTCTAATTTTCAAAGAGGGGCAAGTTGCAAATACAAAAGCCTCAGTTTCCCCTAACATTTTAGAAAGGTACATACTTAACACACAGCCAGGCTCCCCCTACATTCAGGGAAACCGATGAGAAGCACAAACATTCCTGGAGCACAAGCAATGAGGCTGCCTGTCTGATCACTGCCTTCCCCACAGTCAACAACAGATCCTTATAAAAGCTAGATGACAAGTTGCAGCTGTATTTAGAGGATGGGATTTTTGTGCTCAACTTCCTTGGGAGAGAGCAGCCTTGCTATCTTCTAGTATGATACTGCATCTTCAAGTGAAGTAACGCAACAAGTTTTGGCCTTTTAATCACTCGTGGACTGTTGCAACTTCTTACTGTATAGCATTTAACTTCCCCAGAGATACTAAAAGCACTGAGTCATCAGTATTGTTATATCTGACCAAGGCTTTGCACTTGGCTTACAAAGGCCTACACAAGCAAGTGAGGAACACAATTCCAATACAGATGAGCTGCATTTTCATCCATACAACTCAAACCCTGGCCCAAAGTCTACAGAAAACTACTTCAAATGCCAGTTTATAGTAACATGCCATCCAGTGCCCACCAGCAGTGAATGTGCTATGGCTGTAATATAAAGAAAAAGAAGTGTAGCAGGCCCCAGCCTTAAGAATGTTTAAAAACACTGTAGTAAACTTGCAGATTACTGTCATACCAGGGGGGAAGCCTAAGGACTGAGTCCAACATCCAAGGATAGGCAGGATCACATGCCATTTTCTTTTCAAAAGTAACACCATTTCTTCCCCATGCCAAGTAATAAAAAATACTAGCTACAAAAATAGTGTTTACTCCCTGAATCCACAGTAGAAACAGTGTCTCAAAGATAACTAAAGTCAGCCTAATTTCACAATTGCAGAAAGTAGAACCAAAGGAAACCTCAAAGAATCATTATGACAAGCCCCTGCCTGAATGACATTCCAAAATTAATCTCTGTGCAAACAGTTATGCCATGGGACTCTACATTATAAAATGACTGACTGAATTGGCTAGACTTTTAGGAAAAGCTATTTGTATGTAACTATTTTAGTAATAACTTCAGCAATGAAAGCACTATATAGCCAATTTTAGAATCCACATATGATATGAAATATACACACATACATGTTCTAATATATAATTTTTCATTCTTAAAGCAATGCAGAGCAAAACCAAACCAGGGCCTGGATAATTTATCACACATGCCTTCACATCAGCATGACTTCTAAAACACAGCTGATGGGCTGATCAGATCCCTGAGGTCTGTAACTGGAATTGCTACAAGTTTTACTTACCACAACTGTAACCAAAAACTGACTTAAATCACATTATATCTGTCTAGGTGAAGGAGAAAGACAGAAATGAAACAACAAAGAAAAGAACACCCCAAAACCCACAGAAAAACCCCATGCAGACAAAAACCCACACAGCCTAGCCATACATAGAAAGGCACCTGATAATATTACTGTTAGTAGCATTTATCTACAGCACCTGAAGCCTATTTAACCAACCAAGGTAAACGTTAAAGGATCATGAAGCACAAGGATTCAAAAGGCTAACCCTACCCAGTAAGTCACAGCCATGACATGTGCAGCTATAAACCAGTAAGAGCGTGCAAAACTACCCAGTTTTGCATAAAGTGCTGAATGTACACCCAGTTTGCACCCACCAGCGTTATCTTCGTTAAGCTTGGCAATATGATGCAAGAGCATGATCTGAAGGATATTCCACATCTACCTCATGTTTCTTTTTCCTTCCCCACCCTAATCCGCTGTCCTCTAAGCTGTACATTTTTATATTACACAAAGGCCTTTACAGGAATTGTAGTTCAGAAAAATATTTCAAGTATATCTGTCTTTCCATGTAAACTCGGGGACACCATGGGTTGAATTTTCACAAGTTGCAAATAGTTAAAACTTCTGTTAATTCAGTTGGAGTTGTAATCATTTCGTTTTGTTCAGTACCTCTGGAAAAAGGCTGTTTTCTGTTACTCACTGAATTCCCATTTAAGGAGTGCTGAAATTCATACTATAACTTGTCCAGATTTAAGTCTAAACAATAAGCAATTACAGAAAAGCAGAGTAACGCTTTATCCAACCACTTAGGTTTGTAAAACCAAGTCCTACCATATCTATTCATACATATTCATTATATGAACCATACAGAGATCTTTCACACTTGATGCACTGAATTCAAGTTACTATCATACAGCAGTTTGTCTTGCAGGCAATGTGCAATACACTCAGAAGTATACAGTAGGCCTCTTCTTTACTCTGTATTTCAGTGATCCATACCGTATCTGCAGGGGAAAAAAAAATAACTTAAAAGAGCTTATTTCAGGCAGAAGTATTTACCTTTTCACTAATCCAATCCAGTAAGCATCTTTAAATGTGATTTAGACACTCCACAGATTGAGTAGAGTTACAGTTTCAACTGAATTGGGTAAGAAGGTTAAGTCTTTTTCCAGGATTACCCAAAAAAACTTTAGGGATTGCTTACATGTTTCTCCTGAAGAGAACTTTACATTTTTAAATGAATGCAAATAAAAAGCACTTAGAATCCTACACAGGATCTTCTCTTCTGTGTTAACAGTCAAAGCAGGACATATACCTATGGAAAATAAACAATTCTGGATCTTCTTTAATCCACAGAACAGCAAATGATTAAGTGTACACAACCAAGACACAAACACGGGTGACAACACCTGACATCTACAACCCTTTCAAGGTGAACAGTTCCTGGAATCTGGGCTTGGCAATACTACAATTAGCATGACATACACAGGGTCTATTTAGTGTCCTCTCCCTTTTTCCTTGCTTGGTAATTTTGTTTGTGCATTTTCCTTAAACACCCCAAAATACAAAAGCTCCAAGCTTAGATACTGTTATCACATACTTCCTTCTCCACTTCAGATTCTACAACCCAGTTACCATTGAAACCCCCTCTAAGATAAGAAAAAAACACTCCTCTGCATTATTAAACATATCAAGGTACATTGTTAAAAACAAACTCAAAACTTGCCTCTTTACGGCCTTTAATAGTTTTCACTGATTTCATGCTCTGAGTTCTTCGAAGGCCTCTCTGAGCTAACATTTCATCCTCAGAATGTGTTCCCTCCATCTCTTCATCTGTTTTATCATCTCCAGGATTTTTTTCCAGTGAACTTTTGTAACCTTTAAAAAACAGTTTTATCAAAACATTTAATAAGAAGCAGCTGTAACTTTCAGATTTCCAAGAAAGCCATGCGTTTCATCTTTAATGCTCATTCCTTATTTTTTTAAGCAATATGGTCAGTCTGCCAGCTGTTTCTAAACAGCAAGACTTCTTGTCTACCTGCAAGTTGTTACTTGCAATTCTGCCATTTTTAAGTAACAAGCCATTTCATTCCATAGATCTGCAAGGCAGTGGTCCCTTAATTGTCAAAAGTTAAAGCGTCTATCTGCTACCATCTCTGCTTTATAATGAACTGCAAATACCTCAGTGGTTTTCTTAAGTAAGAAACCTAAGAATTTTGGCCAAAATCCCTGTGGGAAGGAGGTTGGACTAGTTGATCTTTTAAAGGTGCCTTCCAACCCAAACTAGTCTGTAATTCTGTGATTCATAGGAACTTTCTTCATACTTGTACATCTTTCTCTCTGTTTGATACCAACGTTCCTTTCAGATGGATATAATATCAAAGTACTATTCGGGGTTATTTATATCCAGCAAAACCAGGACCGAGATTATTACCAAGGATTCTCACCAGAGGGCGCAAACTACTCACAAACAGGGGCCGAGAGAGCCTTGGGGTCCAACGGCCCTGAATCAGCACGTTTTGGGTTGGAAGGGACCTTAAAGATTACCTAGTTCCAACCCCCCTGCACGGACAGGGACATCTCCCTCTAGACCAGGTTGCTCCAAGCCCCGTCCTACCTGGCCTTGCACACTGCCAGGGAGGGGGCAGCCTGTGCTAGTGTCTCACCACCCTCGCAGGAAAGAATTTCTTCCTAATGTCTAATCTACCCTCTTAACAACTTCAATCTACTCCTCCTCCTCCTCTCACTACATCCACTTATAACAAGCCCCTCCCCAACTTTCCTGTAGAGCACTTCCATGTACTGGAAGGTGCTCGAAGGTCTCCCCAGAGCCTTCTCTTCTCCAGGCTCAACGACCCCAGTTCTCTCAGCCTGTCTCCAGAGCAGAGCTGCTCCAGCCCTCGGATCACCTTTGTTACCCTAATCCCCGTCACAGATGTTTATAAACACACCCTGAAGGCAGTCTGGTTCTTCCCTCCCACCAAGTTCTCCTTTTATAAGGCCATTCCAGAACCTACAAGCTGTAACACATAAAGAAACCTTTTAGACTCTACACTCAACTTTAGTAATTAAGGTTCATTTCATCTCAAGCCAGTATTTTATTTAGGCATAATTAGGTCGTTTTCTTTTGGTAATTTCATTGTTTTCCTTACATTAGATTCACCTGCTCCACCACTACTTCAGGCAAACTTGCTTCTTTTGCCATTCTAGAAGCAACATGTCTCTGCTCCAATATAGTTTTAATTAGTCTTCTTCAAAACAAAAGATTCGAATCTTATGTTACTCATCTTATTTCTGAGTACTCATGTTTGCAGTGCCACCGGTACTTCCTTATCTCTATTTTTAACACCTCTTGAATCACATGTGCCTTTTTCACAGCAAGCATATTGATAGCTCTGTCCTCCTGTGATCCTTTCAAAGTGATTTTCACAGGAACTCCCAGTTCAGTTCACAAAAAAATAACCTTCTGTTAATTGCAACAAAATATTGCTGCATAGTGTTCCTAGGTCTGTTAGTGGTCTGCTCTTTTAAATTTCTAATGCTGAAGAAAGCTCAAGGACAGAAGGTGTACACCAGATTTGAGTCCAGGAATACAAACAATGAAGTTAAACTAGCTCTAAGAAAGCATTATCCACATGCCAGTGTGTATCTCACAATCAGCAGTTATCTCCACAGTATCATCTGTACCTTAGTAGTTGTGTTGTTTGTTGTGGGGGATTTTTTATATTTTTTTCAATTATTTTTTTTTAATTTTCAATTTTTTGAGCTATTTCAGATAGCAAAGGCTGTATTACTGTATTGCTGAGAACAGCCCCTGTGCAGCAGCTGCACTGACATCATTCCTATTGCAACTCCTAATGAATTCCTGAGCTTTCCCTCTGGCCCCCACTCCCTGTCCTTACACTGACCTGCAGAGGATACCTTCTGGGCTCTGTCAGCAATTCAGCTTAGGGCCATTCAGGTGGCCATTTATTCCTCAGAAACTCCATGGGCTACCATGCCATTCCTGGAATTCTGTGCACTCCACAAGCACCACCCCTCCCCAAAATAGAGGGATGCAAAGAAATGTCAGTATCAAGTGAAAAGAAAAGCAATGGGGGTGAGGGGAAGGGACATGAACTGCTTTCCATTGCAGCCTCACCATTTAAAAGGTGGCACTGGCAGCCTAGCACTGAAACCTTGCTTCAAGCATCACAGGCTCAAGAGTTAAGTCATGGTGATGGTAATGTGTAATAAAATATTTAAATCAGCCCGGCAGTAAAATACATCTGCAAAAACGTATATTGGTCATCACACACCATCTTTTGAGTGCTGATGTGCACTAGTCCATTATGACAACTTAATGTTTTCACTATTCCTACCACTACCAGCAAATTTACATTTTGCACTATCATTACAGACCTGCTTACATGTTTATTTATTTTCTCTTCCTATTTATTGAGCTTCCTTAAATTTTCCTTTTAAACTTTTTATATATTTGTCACAGAAACACCACTTAATCATGTATTTTCTTCCTTCCAATTAAGCTTTACTTTGGAAGGAATTCTCACTGATAATTGGCAAAGATAGGAGTCATGAGTACAGCATGACTATGCTGTTAATGGCCGTGAGAAGAACACAGTTCAGGGAGGATCTCTCAACTGCTGCAATGTATATTGCTTAAGCCAACTCTGTCCAAGTGGACTGGAATACTTTGAGGCCTTTGCCATTTCTAAAGTGCTTCCCCACTTTTTGTCTTCGGTGAGTTGTTCTTGTAGTTAGAAAAAGCAGATAGATACTTACCTGAAGACTCACTTGCAGAGGTTCTGGTTTTCTTTTTTGCTTCTGGTAAAGTCTGATAGGGTCTCTGTCCTACTGGCTCATCTCCTTGTATAGTAGTCAAATCATGCATACTGAAACTTCTCAGTTTCTCAGTTATAGCACCTTGACTCTGAAATAGATCAATAGTATCTTTGAAAACAAAGCAGGGGTTTAACTTTGCTGTTCAATGGAGGTAAAGATTTTTAAAGTCCATGCTTCCTTGCTGCACTACAAAATCCACTGAACCTAAGCATGCAGTAGATTAACATTTGCTTTAAGTATTGCTTTTACTCTAGCTTAACTGTATATAGCTCCTACATGTAAAAGTTACAGAGAAGCCAAAAGTTTTGTTATTAATGCCTCATTTTACTCCTTTAATCTGAGCAAATAAAGGCTTTTTGAGAGAAGAGAAGTGTTCAGAAGAAACCCATCAGAAATGCTCAATTCACTACAAACATCATAATTCTCCAGCAGTGTTTGGTAGCATGACAGTGGGTTTAAACATCTCCATTTTAAAAAGTGTGGTTGAAGATAAAGGTTTCCACTATTTTGTATTTCATCCTCTACAAATTTAAAAAGAAAGAAGAAATGTGTTAAAAATAGACTCTGTAACATTAGCTCAAGTAACTGAGAAACTGGCAGCACTACAAAAGCTGTAGATGACAGACACTTGAAACCGCACACCAAAGCAATCCTGCCTGGCCTACAGGCAAGCAGGTTCTTACTAATGTAGCTTTACTGATGTAACACAAACACAAAGCTAATGCTACGTATAAGGAGAGCTGATCACACTTCTACATTAGTATTCCTTCTCTGACTGTCTTTACATGGGACATAGGGGAAGTTCCTCTTTGCAAAGAAAGGCCATCAAGCAGCTCTTTCATCTTACACCAGTTGATACTGTTAAAGCACTGAAGCTTAATTTATTGTATAAGCACCTAAAAGGACAAGCACATTACTCTATGTCATATTATAACATTTAATTCTTCCTCCTCTGGCACATGAAGCAAAAAAATAACTGTTTCAGAGGAAGGCTGATGAGTCCATGCACAAGTCCCACTTAGAGCAAGGGTTCAAGATTTTGTTTCATTCTTACAAATGAAGCTTTTAAGTAAAATTCCTCCTTTGAGCATTAGGTTAGCTAGCAGTAGCAGCTATCTGGGTACAATTCCACACACATTTCTTTGCCACAGCACCAGCATAAGGCAGTTTGTACACCAATGGCCACAGCCATTTGCTCCAACTCTCATGGCAACAACTGCTTGCAGAAGGAGACCAGCACACTAAATTATTCTAATGTTAAAAATATCCATGCAAAGTTGAGACACAATAGAAATACTCCATAAGCTTGCATGGCTACCAAAGGGGGTGGAGAAGGGAGGGGTTGAGAAGGGGGAGGTGGGCAGGGATGGTGTGCAGGAAGCAGCTGAAAACTAATATTAATTTTCTAACAACAAGTCATTAGTACAGCATGAAAAGTATGCACGTTACACAGATAAGATAAATTTCTTTTAATTCTGACAACACCATTCACACATTGCCAGTCAACAATAATAAAGAAAGTGTTTCTTTTGAGAGAAGTAGAAGCTTTTACTTTTCTAGTTCTTCCTACAGACATGCAGGATGACTGACAGTTCTCAAGAACACACCTACAGCTTGTCTTTGAGTGAAAATGCCCTACAGACACTGTGCAGTCTGTGTATAAGCTACTGTAGAAATTCTGAAGTTAATTTTTTTCCCTAAAATGGCTTATTTAGGGCAGGTCTGTCCTGTCCTAAGGCAGGAATCCTGCCCTTTCACTACTTGTTGCTTTGAAAAGCATTTAACCTAGAAACCAAATCAGAAACCAGAGTTGCCTGAGAACTGTCAGCTTCTAGGACATTGTATAAGAGAACTTGGAGAAGAGCACTGGAGAGTCAGGACTTCCAACAACAAGTGACAGATTACAGTGTCTGCTTTAACACATTAATACTCTTGATCAATCTGCATCCACTGTTGGAAGAGACACAACCAGACTCAAGCCGCAACCACTGAACACTGATAAATGCATAAAACAAACTCAGTTGATTCTCAGCAAAATCCACATAAATTCAGCACAACTCCACACTCAGTGTAGACAGAATCAACTATAAAACAGTGATATAAGCTAGATTTGGCCAGAAGCCAAAGTATAGAAAGACACTTGCATGCAAGTTCATTCATCATGTGATGTACTACAAAAACAGATTTGCAAATTATGCATTGCAAATTAGCCAAGATTATAACTAACATGCTAAGAAGAATTCAAGCTACAGGCCTGCATTTCCTATTTCACTATAAATAAAGGACTAGATCCAAGCTGGGAACATTCAGCCTTATTTTTTCAGTACAGTTGTTGGATACAGAAGTTTGTTTCTCAAAGCGGAAAAGAGTCCAACTACATGCCATAAAACATTGTGCCTTTAACCAAACAGCATGATGGATGAGGCTAGAGCTCCTATGGAGCACTGCCTCATTCAGAGAGGACCTAACTGAGTCATACAATGGGCCCTTCATTCCAAAACTACCTGCCAAGATGGAATGTTTCACTCAAGTTACACATAGCAAATATTAAAGAAGCTTGAAACAATACATACACAACTAAGAGAAGCAACATACATGCCTGAGAGTGGCAGTAGGAATGGGGACTGCACAACCACTGCTGTACTGTGCAGGCTTGGTCACACATTAGACTCACCCTGTGCACGTAATTCCTTATGGTCCCCCCATGTCTCCTCCTGCCTGAAAGCCGTCTCCATCCCACCACTGAGACAACCCAGTCTAACCAACTCAGGATTGATTTCTACTGCACACCACTGCACAGACTAATCGGAGGACAAACTCCAAGTTCTTTCATGGGTGTTTTTTTTCTGGTTTGTGGTTTTGATTTTTTTTTTATTTATTATTAAAAACCCACACATCACTGTGCTCATAAAGCACTTAAGTTCTCAGAAGACTTTTCCACAAAAGCAGCAGATAATTGCTTTCTGCTGAAACCAAGTATTTAATGAGGATCTGGATTACAATCAGCTCAAAATGAAAGTCTTGCTGAAAAACATAAAATACCTTCTACTGCAGGAAGCGTGAGACCAACATTCACATTTAGAACATTAATGCATTAAGAATTTTGATACCTTGTTTGACAGTTCAGACTTACTAGCCAGAGCTTGAAAGCAAATGCAGTGCTATCCAACTGCAGGTGGAGTTGAAGGGGTATCTCCTGTTCCCAGACTCACACCATGAGTACAGGATGGCAGCAGCCAACATCTCTCCCCACACAACCCTAGATGCTCCTTTCCAGAATATGGCATAGCAGCTGCCACACCTGCACTGGTGCCCCATTATTTCAACATTTCCTACCAGTAAGGGAGAATAACAGAGGACTGCATCAGGCTCAGATTCTGCCAACTAAATTACACTACAAAAGATTGAAACACACATTTACAATTACGGTGCAGGCAAAAAAGCAGAGAACTTCAATGCTCAAATTGCTATGCAAATGAACATTGGAGAGAGATGAACTGTGACGTTTGGGTTGCCTTAAACAAAACGCAAGTCTTGAAGAGTGAGTCTGCTTATTTATTCAATAGTTTTTTCTAAAACATGAACAACTTTTCAGAGACCATATTCATTACCAGTGATCAACCTAAAACATGAATTTAAGCTGTAATGGGTTTGTGAATCTAGTTTCTGATAAATACAGCCTACTTAAGGGACTCCTTTTGAGACTACTCAGACTCTAATAAGCTATTAACCTGAAGTCTCATCAGCTGACCCTCATACATTAAAAGGCCTTCTCTATTTTGTTGTTGAGCATGTATTTTTATAGTCTATATATTTAACCCAGGGAAGCTGCTGTAAACGGACACCACACAGTACATATGCCTCAGGGACTCTTTTGGTTGTTTAAATTGGATTTGCACCCCCTCAGTGGTCAGGATCACTGAACAAAGCTACTTGCCTTCATTGGGCAAGTTCTCAATGGACCATGTGTCCACCGAGCTGCCGGGAGCTTTGAGGCTGCAGAGCTGCAGTGAGCAGCACCCACATTCCCAGCTGTTCTCTCCCTAATCCGATCTGGGCTGACAGGGATGACTCCTGTTCCCTCTCAACCTAGAGAGGGACTGTTGTCCTGTGAATGACCTCTGCAGCATGCCAGGCAGTGCCAGCAGGGAAGAGGGATGAAAGCAGCCTTGCTGGTGAGCTGAGCTTCAAGATACCTCCTCTCTCTGATTTGCCCTGAGTGGGGAGAAGAGGGAGCCTGAGCAAGGCCACTAGAGTAGTATTCACCAACAAAGAGGCAGCAGATTCAGGATTACTAAAAGACATACAGAAACACAGTCCTCTTTTTTTTTTAACCAATACTTCATAAATGAACAAAACTTGTGTGACCTCACGAAGGACAGTGCATTTCACAGCTTAAGTAGCAACCAACAGACACCAGTTTTTGCTAGTAGCTTAAGAAATCAAGATTTCTGTGTTTGAGATCAGAATGCACAGGTAACTGGCATTTCCAAAGTTCTGTATTTTGATGCATCAGCTGTCCCAAGATATAATGACTAGAACTTAGTCCTGTGGACATAATTTTCATAAATCCATATACTATTGAGTTGAAAGAGCTCCAACAACTTTCTTATCATTAAATGCATCTTGTTGCTTTTATATTCTAAAGAAATTTTTTACCAGTAAATTAAAGTCAGTCTAGAACATATTTTACTTCTAAGTCTCTTGAAATCAGGATTTTACAAAGATTTTTTTTATAACAACACCATTTATTTTGCTAGTCTATCCTATTTAGCAAGTGCTGAAACACTATTCTATACTAACAGTGGCTAACTTGTACCAACTAAAGCTATCAGTATAAGAATGAAAGCCACAAGCCTTGACTCTTGCCAATTACATTTTAACTGAACTACAGTGGAGCAGGTTTACATCTAGGTGAAGTTCTGGTAGACTGACCTGGCTGGCTGACTGGTCCAGCCTCCCAAACACAGCCAACTAGTCTTTTAATATTAATCCCCTATTCCTTTGACAGCCCTTGGAGAAAAACACTTTCCCATGCTTGATATTCCAGAGAGTTCCCAAACAATTTTACCACCCTCTTCAAGTCAGCATAACCAGACATCATAACATCTTTTACTCAGACACTTGTGTGAAAAGAAGCTTTCTTTGGACCTCCTCTTCTGTTTATCCTCCCACATTCTCTACTCCTAATTCGAGATCCAACATGTCAGAATAGGCATGTCTGCTCCTTCAAAAAAACCAAAAGTGATACAAGTGTGTCTCCTTCCCATCAAAACTGATCCCACTAAAAAGATTCCATTCCTGAAATCCTATAGCATGCTCCCCCAGCTCATGCTGAAGGGATAATCTTTTCACCTGCTGGAGGCAGCAGTCAACCCTTGGAAAACAGGGAAGAAAATGCATTGTCTCCATTTGCTTGCATGGAGCAGTCACGCTCAGCTTTTTGGAATGACAAACTGAAGAGAGGTTCAACATGCCAAAATAAAGATTTTTCAGGGAGTCTCTGCTTCCATACTGTTTAAAAATCATGCCTATTTCAGGTCTTTGGTATTGCAGTGGTTGTTTTGCTCAAGCATCTCATCTGCACCCAACTAATTCTGTACAAATATTCATGAGCATGTTTAACAAGTTTTAACAAATCTAGCAGGCATCTTGCCAGTCATAGCTGAATAGCAATTAAATCTAAACACAGACTTTTAGGCAAAGTTATTTGTTATTTCAGAAGAAAGGAGAAGGAGATACTTGAGTTATTTATTTTACAATATTTTTGTAACACCGTAAGGATTAACAAGGAAATATCCAACCTTACTCAGACAGCCAGGCATAAGGAAAACACACAGAGCCTAAGTTTCATTACAGGTGCACATTGTAATAAATTATTATTTGCTTTTTGGCAAAGATTTTGCATTTTAGCATTTAATGTATTTCTTTTTCCTAGTAGAGTACTTTCAGGTTTGTTCCTTTTTTAAAAATCATCTATTTGCACTCTGGATACTTTCATTACACTTAGAGGTGTACTCTATTTCATTCTAAATTAGTTCATGCCTCAAGGCAATACTAAGAATTTTAATAACTAAAACAGAACCAGTGATAAAAATTAACCACATTCTCAGTATGTTAGACTGAAAGAGTCTGTATTTTAAAAACCAGAAAGTGCTATTTTTCCTACTACCACTCGCACTTGTATTTGAAAAAAGAGAAATTGAACCAACAAGATATGCATGACTATTCTTCCAAACCTTTGTGAGACAGCATTTGAAAATGTAGTTTTTAGGAATCTTTGATTTATAAAGCAAGATGTTCACATACAACCACAGAAATTTAAGCTAAATGTTAGCTCTACCTACTCAACTTTGACAGCCAGGGATCTACATTGTCTTCTGTTACCTACTAACAGTGCCCAGGTTTTAAATCCTGTTATTGTTAACACAGCAGTTTCATTTATCCCCTGGTATAAATTAATCCTGATTACTTGAAAACTATGATTTAATTAAGGCATACACATTTTTCTTCCCATACTTCTGCATTTTGGTTTAAAGTATTATTAGAATACACATTGCCTCAAGTTATACTCCTCCTAGTGGGCCACAAGGTGCTTAGAATCTTAATGATAAGCTTATATTTTGTTTTCTTAAACATATAACCCTCTGAAGTTCAACTGAAGGTCATGAGCTTTGTAGGAACAACCACAGGGTACCTCACGATTTAATGGCAATTACATGTCAAAGCAAGAGTACACTAAACAGCAATATGCAAGCTTATGCTTAGTGTATTAATGGAATAATTCAATCAGCAAGTTGCAAACAAGTTAATTGTGTCAAGATAATTTATCTGTGGTAGTAATCTTTCATGCCTTACTTCGTATGTGGAGTTATCTCAAGTTGATTGGAGAAAAACAGCAGAAAAGCCAGATATCCTTTAAATAGTTTGTTTACCAACAAGAAAGAACAACAGAGACAGAAAAGAAACAATGGTCATCTTTACCAAAAGCCTGCACAGAAAAAAGCATGATATCCTCTGAATTACAGTAAATTGATCCTCATCATCCAAGAAATAACTACAAGCCATCTTAAACATAGTATGAGGAGGACTAGAGGGCTGCAAGCCTTACTTTGTGTTCCACGTTTTCAATACATTGTAGAACTAATTTTTTTGTTTAGGAACAGCAAAACCTCAGTACAATTACCCTGTTCTATATCAAGGACAAAAGCAATTAATGAAAACAGAAAATTACCTTTACAGCTGCTGTTACTGCAGCAGTTGCTGCCAAATTCAACCCTTGCTTTCCAAAATTGACCATGGTCTCATAGCCTCTTTCTTTGGCCTGTACAATGTATTCATCAATCTCCTAAAAGCAAAACATACTTAAATTTTAGAGAGCTATGCATAAGAGCTATGCATACACATTACCCCACCATATTATTTTTTCATCAGTGAAATAAGACAGACATCTTTTAGAAAACACTTAAGATACAATAACTTAGACAAAGAAAATACTCAGACAATTACTGTTGCCTTTGCATACTGATCTTTCATTCATTTGTAAGTGAATAAGAATTATGCCTCAAACAAAAATATAAAATAGGTCACTTGGGTCCAGCTCAGAAACATTGCAGCTACAAAGCAAGTTCCTTACTGAAAGTAAGCCTAGCTTGTCAGAAAAAAGTTGTTTAAGAAATAACATGCTCACGATGAAATCAGAGAGCTCCTTAGAAAGGTAGGCTCAGCTCACCAATAAATTCTGAAGGCAAAACCTTGACCTAGTTAAGTATAAAGAACAACAGCCCCAGCATTTATCCCCAGCTGTGGTAAACAACTGGAGTAGTTCACAACAGCCAACAGAGAATGGGAAAAAGATAGTTCGGCTTCTGAAGCTGCAGACTGTTTTCAGTTCCACCTTCAGGGTTTACAGTTCAAATTTCAGGTCAAGATGGCCTCACTATTCATATCAGTGGCAATCATGTCAGCTACCCGTTTTGCCTAATGAAGGCCAAGCCCAGCTCTGACCTTTATAAATGCTATTTTCTGTACTGTGAGGTTTTTTCAGTGGTAGCCTTCACACCTCTGCTAATTGCTCTTTTCACACCTCCAAAGAGGATGAGGATGCTGATAAAAAGCTACACACATCTGTGGCTCTGTCAGACTAAAGCTAAATATTATCTTGCTATTTTCTATTTGAGTATTTGCCATTGCAGACTGGTCTTCCCTTAAACCTCAGGAGAAAGTCTCTCTTCTTATCATGTCAGTTTGCACACCAGAAAAGTCATTGGTGTGATTTGTCCTGAGAAGTTTTATTACCAGGTCATGCAAGAAATAATGGTAACACAAATAGCTGTTGCTAAAACTCAAGCCATGCTTCTGCACAGAATGTACTGCACATGTTCTTCAAGTAGAAAGTCAAACTGCATCACTTCCACTCAGCTGGGCTCCCCATGGTGCACTACATAGACCAGAGAGCACCAAGCTATCTCATGTCAATAGAAAGCCATACATTGTCTGCTCATGCAAGTTAAAACAAAGCATATATATGGACATACGCACTTGCCTCTGCCCATGTTGCCTGACAAATCAGTAACACACTTATCTGCTTTCATCATGTGTCTAGCCACAGTTATTTCAGCACATGGTGTTTCCATATTAGGCACTAAAGATATGAGAAGTTATTTCTTACCCTTTCTTTAGAAGAAAGAAGCGGGTGGAGAAATTTTCTGTAGATTAAACTTGCCCCTCTAGTATATGGGCTAAGGAGCCAAATAACAAAAGCTATCTTCAGTTCATAGTAGAGTGGAAACCTACAGAGTAGTTAAAGGTTACATGAAATCAACAACTGCAGTAAGAAAACGAACAGTAATTAATCATCATTAAGAGATGCCTTCAAGAAACACAATTACATATTAGCAGCTAGGATTCTTCACATACAATAAGTTGTATTAAACAAGAATTACAGACCTATGAATTTACAATCTGATTTAAAATTAACTGTTTCAATTTATTCAATGACAATACAGTCAATACTTGCTTTGCATTATACATTTTTGCACAGAGAAATTACAGCTCATCCTTTTAAGCATTCCTTTCCCCTATTCAGTTTCTATAGCAAAGGTGAAAGACTCACAGTTCCTACTTTGAGTGACAGGGTACTGCAAGGTTGAAAAATATATTTTCCTGAAATATAAATGGCTACCAACAAGCACAGCTTCTTTTTAAAAATTAAATCATTACAAATCAAAGAACATCAGAAAAAAATAGTTTCATCCAGAGTTCATAAAAAGCAGGCACTTACCAAGAGACTGTTAGGTCAGTTATTGTTTCAGAAACTGTATAAAGAGCAAACACAATCCAATACATCATCCAGCGAACCTGAAAATGAAAAACACTAGCTCAGTAAGAAAGCCGATTTCACCATTACACAGAACACACTTTACCCTGTACAGTCAATTCAGAGCTGTCAAAGCAAGACAGTCAACAGTATCTCAGTCTGCATCAACCAGGTTTCAAGTGAAATTATAGGAAGGTCCTAAGGGTTTTCTGTTTGTAAGTGGAACTGCTGGCAGTTCCAGTTCCAACAAGGGAAATGAAATAGCTGGGTCACCACCTCACCTAGGCTAGCGTCACAGATTAGTCTGCCTCTGGAAAGCTTTAGTGATTAAAAAAAAACAAACACGCTGCTAAGAATCAGAGTGAAATGCAATTCCCACTACAGCACTGAAGGATATTTCATTCTCTTTGATGCTCCTCTGTATGGTTTATACCACACACAAAAAAGTCAGCATTAGCAAGCCAGGCAACTCTTGATTTCATTTCACAATATTCATTACTCAGCTATACTTGGCAGCTAAGTTCTAAATGTGTGCTTAGCATTATAGTATGAACACTGTGGCAAGGCAGGAAAAAGCATTTTCATGGAAATTTAGTTCTATTCATATGCCAAAACCCACACATCTTGTTAACAAAAGAGCTCACACAAGCATCTTGATGCTTCAGGGGTTCACATCTAGATACTTTAAGATTTACACTATATATAATTTTGAAATCAGACAATGCTCTTAAAATACAGGTTTTAATTTGTAACACTTAACGAAATAGCTCCTTTTTCTTGAACACTTGTTCAAATTGGTTGTCTAAACTGATTACATCTTTCAGATTCAATCTCACAGCATTAGCTTCATGCATTTGTCTTCTCTAAGATACCAGTGGCCAAAAGCCACCAACATAGACATGTTTCCAAAATAGGTCAATGCAAACCACTGCTGGTTATTCATACTAACTGAACATCCACATGTTACTTAAATACCAACACTATACATACTAGAAAAACAGTTTTAAAAAATAAAGGAGAAGTATCACCCACAAGCAGATGCAGAGACCTCATTTCATTGGCCATGAACAGACATACTCTTCTGCCATACCCACAAAGCATTACACACCATCTTTGTTAGACAGTAGTTTGAGTTCTAAATTCATGAACATAGCTAGGACTTGTCATTTTTAAAGTCATCTTCTTTTGAATTGGACTCAAATTTAAGTTCCTGAAAACTAATGCTGCACTGCTGCTATTTCATAGCTGTGCACTGTCCTTTAAAACCACTTCCCTTGTCACAATTGGAGACCCATTTATCTTAAATGCTTTTCTACATTTCAATTTGAAAAGAAACTCAAGTAATGTGATGACATTCTTCACTTCAGTCTCTCAGAGGATTTAGGTATTTCAGCTTGAATAAACTAAGACAAACTGTACACAACAGGTAAAGTCATCTCCAACAGGCCATGTGTCAAAGACTAGTGACCTTTCCATGAACCAGAGTCAACACCTGAATAAAAGTAAAATTAACATCCACCCTTGCCCCATCAACCTAACCATGATGCAATGCAATTTCCAAGATGCCATGCAAGGCTGAATTTTTTCCCAGTATATTTTATCTATGCTATTAATTCTTGAATCAACATCTATTTATCCAACTAGGAACAACAGCAGAAGTGGAGTTTCTCTTGAGCTGCTAGGAACAGTAACAAACACTCAGCAGAATGGCACATGAGATCTGCCAAAAGTCCTGCTGAGCTCTGGGCAAAGATTCTCAAAACCACAACACAAATCACATTCTAGTACAACTGATGTGTGAGGTACCAAAATATCCTCGAAAAAAGAACCTGAGTGACTTAAAGTGGTTTTCATAATGGGAATTAAAAAACCACACCACAACAAAAAACTCCGGAAAAACACAAGATCATATTTGACACCTCCCAGGAGACTATAATCTACTTAACTCTAAAAAATGATGGTACAGAAGCTTTGAATGAGTTTTGCTTTTCAAGTTAAAAGGGTGATTACATAGTTTTCTTGAGCTTTTTTCTACCATCCAAGCGCTAAGCTCATCTTTGTTGGCTCTGGCTGAAGCTCATCCTTTCAAATCAGGATTTTGAAGCCAGGGTTTGAGAAGACTGGTCTTCCAGACTTCTGAACTACACTTCAGATGCTTATTAAAAATGCTTTGGTGTAACAGTGAAAAAAACCTCAAAGATCTTAGTCAACTCCATTAAACCAAGGTAATTACAAGAACAAGTAAATCTCCTCAAAGGCACAGATCCTAATTGCTAGAAGTCAAGTCCTTAAGTCTTTTAAATTACCAAACCCAGCAGCAACATTTTTTCAGAAATCATCTTTGAACAATTTACTGCATCATGACCTACACAGCAAGTCAAGATGTCTGTACTTTTTGTTTTCTTACTGAGGTAAGCAGTGGCTAAGTAAAAAAAAGCTCTTGCAATCCAGCAAACAAAAACATACGGCTCCTGAGCCACACAACTGTGGAAAGGAAGTTGTACTCAGGCCATATGACTGGCAGCAGAGCTGAGCCATGTTCAAGGCTGCAGTTACACCTACACCGTCTCCAGGAAAGAACATGACCCACCTGGGAAGATGAAAGCCATGTATCTTCCCTATCTGGACTCTCAACCCAGCCAGCAATGGAGTGGTAATTCACTGATGAATCAATACAACTCCTGCCCATGAAAAAGTCACTCTTAACAGGTCTCAGCCATCTCAGACCCATGAACTCTAAGTTCAGGGAGTGTTCAAGACCACAGGTGACTGAAAAGCAATTGGAAAAATACAGTTCCAGGCCCTACTAAAGGTCCTGTGTAAATGACAGGCATCTCTAAAGAAGGGTGCCTAAGACACACAGCTCAGTTGTAGCTAGCTGGACTACTGAGATTAGTCAAAGTCTCAACATGCTACAATTAGTCATTTTCTTTTTCTAGAAAACATGTGGCAAGAGGCAATGCTAACTTCTTAACATGATTTATTTTATTAGAGTCTGAAAATGCTATCTTCTCTGTAGCCTGCAGATCCCATTTGATGAAGAAGGGGGGAAAAGCAGATTACAAGTTCTTTGCATTACATACTTTCCTTTCAGGGTAAAGTAAGCAGGAGACAGAGGAAATTTTTTATTATTTTTTTTCTCCCAGAAGTTAGCTCTGGCAAGCAATTAATAACATCTAATCAGCTTGCACACAGAACCCAGAAGTATGAATATGGTGTCCACTTTGGAGTCTTGATGAAGTGATCAGACTATATGTAAAGACATACCGGGGAAGAACAATAGCTACTGCATTCTAGTGCTCCAACTAAGTACAAAGTGGAGACACCACACACCCAGACAGCAGCATTAGGTCACAGCTACAGCTGCTGAGTTAAAGTCACTGATATCACTGACTCCATCCTGACTCAGGCAGCCAAGTCAAGAACAAGGTTCAGGGGAGAATACAGGTTAGTTGCAGAAGTTACACTGCCTCTTAAAACATGGAACCAACTCAGTGACCAAAGCTCATTGTGACTGCAACTGGGTAACATTCTTGTGGTAATCATCACTGCTCACCCTGAAAAGTAAATAATTTAACATATTAATTCTAAAATGCAGTAACTACGCTGATTGTGTTTTTCTCCATCTTATTATTCTGTCTGTTCTGCTCCTTCACTTCATCTTACCTTTTCCTTCCTCCATGACATTTTTCTCCTCTGAGGAACAGAGCTACCCTTTTCTCAGGTAGATTTTTAATCACTTGTGGAGCTCCATTCAGTGGCAATTAAACCACTGCTAGTGCTCAAGGGGTCACTGAAAATCAATGTCTGCTTATACTACAGCTGTTGGCAGAATGAGGAAACCTTTTTTCTACCTCCTGCCCAAAAAAACATGATTTTGGGCACTTTGCTGAAACACAGCCAACACTAAGTTTTATGTTTACAGATCCTCCTAAACATATCTGTATCCAGCATAGTGTGTTGGACGTTTCAGCAAAGTCTATGAGAAGTCTGAGAAACCTTAACTTCAGCTCTTCACACAAAATCCCAGGTTGACTACTACATTCACACAGGTTTTACATCTCCAATAGCTGAATCAAGCTTTCATATGATTTACTACACTGCATAATGAAAATTTCTCAGTTGCATGTCAGAGGTATTTAATTAAACAGTAATGTGACTTACATATTCCTTCACATTTTTTGTCTTCACAGCTTTGTATGAGTAATATGCAGGATACAGCATTCCAAACACCAGCCTATTGGGGGGAAAAAAACAAGAACTTTCAGAATCTGTTACACTGTATATGACAAAACAATGACAATACATGTTAGAGCAATGCAGCCAACTTAACAAAAGAAATCTCATTCTGTAGCTTGGAAAAGAAAAAAAACAGTTTTGTAGGCATACTGGAAGAAGTTTAGCAACACACAAAACCAGAGCAATACAAACAGAAAAGCCTGCAAGCCCTGAAGACAACAGTAAGACTGCCTCCAACAGATAATGTAAAGCCTGTCACTCTTCTGATTCAGCTACAAGTAAAACCAGTCCTGCAGTTTGTCTATACCAAAAGGCTGTTTCCTCTTTGGCAGTGATGTCACACTTGAAGACCTCTAACAACTATTGGTAGGTAACAAGAATCATCTGCTTCTATCAGCCTACCAGAAAATTCTTCAAAAGCAAATTTTAAGACAACAAGATGAGTCACAAAATTGTATCTCCTAA